AAAAAAACATTTATTTTGTAAAAATACAAGTCTAGAAAAAAATGCTAAATTAAATTCCTCCGTTCATCACAAAGTTTATCAACTAACAAAATAGCTATTCCAAAAATCTGTATATTCGTTGTTCCCGATGCCAAGGAGCCCTTATTTTTTGCCAACCTTGCCTATATTCTATTTTCGCCAATGGTGGACGACAAATTGGGTTATTAGTTTATTTACTGGCTCCGTTTGTCTCATTTTTTTAAACTTTTTTTCCTCCATCTCGTATTAAGACGAGGTTTTAGAAAATTTACCTATGCTTCAAAATTATGAGTGATACACAGTTCCAAACTGCTTAATTGGTTTATTTAAATACGATTTTTTTGTAAAAAGTCGCGATAATTTTTTTGCTACATAGTATTTACAATATTTTTATATGGATCATTAAGGTTCCAGATGTGGTGCAGTTCCATGGACTTGGACACTCAAAACGTTCCGCCTGATGCCTTAATCTGCAGCGAACATTTTTCCGAAAAAGATTTTTGTAACCGGAAGCGGATTCGACTTAACAATGCTGCGGTTCCATTAGAAATAAATGCACCACCACCAATGATTGTGTCCCCAACTCCACCGACATCAAATAATCGAAGACCTCTAGTTCAAATATTACCCAAATTATCAACCTCATCCAGCCCTGTGTCACAACCATCTTTCGGCGTTACTCAGTCAGAGCTTCCTCCTGCCCCTTCTCCAATAACCTCTGATTCTTTTCCAAACTCTACAGCAGCCGATAAAAAAAGAATTCGCCAATTACAACAAAAAGTTCGACGAGCAAAAGCACGAACTGGAGGTGGGAATATTTTGCAAAAATTAGACGAATTGACTGGCGACGAAGACTCATTAAAGAGTATCATCAAATCTCAGCTACACCGATTGACATCTAGGAAAAAGAAGAAACGATTTAGTCAGGAAGAGAAGGTGACAGCATTGACGATTTACTATTCATCAACTAAACGTGGCTATAGGTGAACAAATAACAAATTAATTAATTTTATCCATTCTAATCAAAGATCCGTTATTACATAAGTAATTTTTTGTGAGATTAGGGATTACTGTTATTCCGGGATTAGACTAATCCAAGCTTAATTAAATAACTCAAGTTCCTGGGATTAAAGATTAAAGCTTAATTTACAATACTCTTGGAATTTAAGTATCAATTATTCCTGATTAATTCTTGATTAAAGATTAAGGGTTACTTAATCCTGATTAAATTATCCTGATTAAATTATCCTGGTTACATTATTTGTTAAATTTTTTATTAGGGATTAGTAGTCCATAATCCCAATCGTTAATCCCAATCGTTAATCGGATCTGTAATTCAAATTCGATTGAAGTATGCTTATCATTAACGAAATGTTTAAAAACTTAGGACGCTGCAAAAGTTGGGTCTACGACTTCCTTCGATTTCGACAATCAATCGCTGGCTTCGTAGCTTCACGATCTCCCCCGGAATCAACAATAGCATCGAGTAGATTTTGCTTGATCGAGTTACGAATATGAACGATTACGAACGCGACTGTGTCTTGATGTTTGACGAGATGGCCATCAAGAAATACATAGTTTACGATAAAAATATGGATAATTTACTTGGGATTCAGGATCACGGCGAAGGTGAAAGAATTCTTGTCCCAGCGTCTGAAGCTCTAGTTTTCATGGTGCGAGGCCTGAACACAAATTGGATTCAACCCTACTCATTCTACTTCAGTCAAGCTTCAACCAAATCTCAAGACCTGCGTAGTATATTATTAGATAATATTGACCGTTTATGTAAGATAGGCTTAAAAGTAAGAATTGTAATTTGTGATCAATCGTTTACTAATCAGGGCCTATATCGCATGCTAGGTGTAACGATTGAGGAACCTTACATACATAGAAACAGTCGCAAAATTTACTTTTCTTTTGATTCTCCACACGTTATTAAAAATATTAGAAACCACCTTAAAAAACATGGTTACTTTATAGAAGGTAATCATGTTTTGTGGCAGCATATAGTTGATTTTTACTCCAAAGACATTAGTAGCGAACAAAGACTGGCACCGAAACTTAGTAAATTTCATATAGAAATTCCCGACCTTTCAAAAATGAAAGTGAAATTAGCGACCCAGCTACTTAGCAAGTTGGTTGCGTCTGGAATTAAAACTTTAATTGACTTGCCAGAAGGGAATGATAGAAAAATGACGGAAGACGCAAGACCAACCTCTGACTTTTTACTTGAAATGGACAGTATCTTTGATTTATTAAATACTTCTAGTAGACATGTACCGGGAAAACCGTTAAAATCTGCAAATAACTATTACAAAAATCTAGAGAAATTAAGATCATATCGTAAGTGGGTATCAGAATGGTTGATGTCGGATGGTACCAAAATTGTTGATAGTGTCAAAGGTTTACAATTAACTTTACATTCGCTTGAACTTTTATTAAGTGATTTGCACAATGACGGATACGGTTACGTTTTTACGAGACGAATACAACAAGATATTTTGGAGCATTATTTTTCATATCATAGAGGAAGAAATGGTTTTTGTAAAAATCCTACGGCTAAACAATTTGCGGAAAGTTTCAAGTATTTGTTAATTTGTGACCTCTTAGGTAGCTCGTCAGGTACAAACTGCGAGAAAAGCGAAAAGACAGATTTAGTAAGTCAAAATTGCCACAGGTTTAAGAAAATATTGCAGTTTAGGCGAAAAAGTGTGACACAGCCAGGTACATCAGTACGTACCACTCAGCAAACTTCAGCATCGTCCAGTAGTGAATTTGAGTGTTCCGATGACGAGTATGAAAATGATTTACAAATTCAAAATTACCAAGGTTTTGATTTTTTCGACTTAACTGATTCTCATGAAATTGACCTAAAGGATGACAACGTTACTGTGTACATGGCTAATTGGTGTGTTAAAAGGGTTATTAAAAAATTAATGAAGTTAAAAAATAGTAAATCATGCAGCAGTTGTAGGGAACTTTTAGAAACATTATCGGACAGACAATCTAATGAACTTGACATGACTGAACAACTAACTAAAAATAAAGCTCGGTTTGGAGATTTCTCAACCTTAAGTGGACAAATTCCACAAATACTTTATGGCCACCTAGTTAAAGAGCAAGTGAAAAAAGTTTTCATTAAAATAAATGAAAATTTTAGGAGTGCCATGAAGTTCTATATGAATCCGCAAGGGGAAAATATATCAAAAAATGTGATGATTTGGCTAATGAGGGACTAAGCTATCGATACATGGGCAAATGAAATTTTAGAATGTCGGCTACATAGAATTGAGATGATTAATTTATTTATTAGAGCAAAAATATTTCAATTATTAAAACATAAAAATCAATTAACTTATGTTATGCCTAAAAGCTTTAGCCAAACCCGGCGTCAACTTCGTGATCAATAATTATAGTCACTTAACCTATAATACTATAATCTAAATAAAATATAAATATACAAATAATGCCAGTCTTTAATGTCGTTGCGAGTATTCCTTGCATATACATTTTATTTAATTATTTGCATAACTTTTGAATTCGCACCTTGTATAAGGAGGACGAAGAAAGAAGGAAATAGAAGTTTTCCTGATTTTTATAGCGGCTGAACCAGACAAAATGCATTCATATTGACGAGAGATAATTGATGGAAGAAATTGACCCGCAAATAGCAAAAATCGTTCAGATTATCTTTCAACAAAAATGTAGAAAATCCATCTAGGAGTATTGAAAAGACAGCTATTTAAAAAATAAAAACTTAAAATTGAATTATGTACATATGTATACAAAAATATATGGATGTATGCATACATATGTACATACATACGCATGGATATATGTATGTACATGTATCAGGACAGGTGCATGCATGGATTTGTCCGTAAATATGTATATATAAATAGTATGTGCCAGAAGTTCATTAAGTTTTGAAATTCGTATATTTAGTGTTAAAACTACTTGGAACAAACTACATAAAATCCAAAATTTATTCAGAACCCTTAATGCTTCCACCAGTTCGAAATGCTACTCATGGCTTGTCAGACCCGTTTGCATCCGATTGAGTGAATTATTTTGGAATAATTTGACAAACTCTTTTCTCCTACTTTCTGTGTAATAATCAGACGGCGGATATGTCTGTATTTTTGTCATACCAAATCGGATCGTACTAAAACTTCGTATACTGACAACCCATCTAAGCACGATCGCAAAAATTCAAACATAGTTTACAATATTTTCCATATTTTAGTTTTCGTACATATACGTATTTTAGTACATATGTTGAGGATTTTTCGTACATATACATATTTTCCTGTGTATTTCGAGTATTTTTCTAAATATAAATAATTTTAGTAAATCCCTCGAGATTTTTATGTAAAAATATTTTTCTTCATTTTGAAATTGAACTTGGCTCAAAATTATATTTCATAAATATGTACAAAATTGAAGTTGAAAAACATTGTTTATGTGCATATTAACAGATTTTTTAAGCACATGTCACATACATATTTTGCGAAATTTACATACATATCTGTTCTCTGCTAATAATTTTCAAAATTTCATTCGAATTACTTTGAAACTTTGTACATTTTTTGTGTCATGACCTTGATTATAGTATTGTTATTTGCAGGCAAACCAAAACTTTCCAATCATAAGAGGTTACGGTACATTTGGTGACTTCAGTTTTGAGAGCATTTTCAAAGTTTTTTTCCTCCAAGTAGCGGGTTACAATATATTGCATACTGATACGCTGATAAGCCCGACTAAAATAAGATATCTTCTGTTTTCTGATGCTTATGTATGTACGTAGGGTACAAGTGATATATATCACCAGATGAGATTTAGTGAGATTTAGTGATTTATATCAATCATCTCACTTGGACCTGAGGTGAGAAATATGAGAAATATGAGATTTAATATAAAAACATTCGCTCTGTCTCAAATGAGGCCCCCGCTGAACAAAATAAGAGCGAAAGTTGAATTAAAAAGAGAATCTTTATTTCCTCTCCAATTCATATTGTTAAGCTGGTCTAGACCAAGAGGAGTTAATTGTTTTGGACTCGATTATTTGAGGGTAAGGTTTAATAACTAACAATTAATTAATAGTTGATATTTACATATGTATAATAAAATATTCCACAGTTGGCGATAAAACGACAAGCGACATTCGAAATGGACGAATTTAATATTCAAGTAATTAATTCAATATTAAATGAATGAAAATTAATTCCTTATAATTTTGTTGTATACAAATACTAGGAAGTGGTGAACTGGACGTGTTCAACTGACCGTGACTCCAGGCTAAATTTACTAAAGATTTTAATTAGATGCACCCCCCACGACGAGTTGAAGATAGTGCAAAGATTCGTAGATAATGCTAAGAAGAGGAAATCGGCACATACTAATAAACATTTATCCAAAAAGAAACGACATGCTGTTGGAAAGGAAGTGGTTGGCGTCGTTGCGCAGATGTCGACTACTGTCGCACAAATGCCAACGACACCACCACCAACCTCTTGGTGGGAGGAGGTCGGGATGGATGGATTTGTGTCACTGGACTGTGAAATGGTGACCCTAAATCAAAAAAATTCACATGGAAAATTCATCCAAAAAGCTGCCACCGTAGGAATTGTTGATTGGAAGAAAGATACAATTTTAAATGTGAGTAAATATTATAGAAATCGATATTGTTTAAAGATAATGAGAGAAAACCTAAGAATATTTATTTATAGGAGACGGTGTATCACAAGGCAGGAAGTTATAAAGTCAACTCATACGCAAAGAAGATTAATGGTTTCGAAGGCTCTGTTTTGGAAAAAGGGAGAGAACTCTCAGCAGTTAAAGAACAAACGGAATCGATTATAGAGGGAAAAGTTGTTGTAACAGCCGGGGGTGCATCAGATTTGTTAAGTCTTGGACTGGTACCGTCAGATTATGAACTATTTGATATTCAAACGGTGTTTCGAAAATGGTCAGGGCAATTTACAAAAGCAGGGGACAAAGTTTACCAGCCGATAAATCTAAGATCGTTGTATTTCCACTATTTCGGCGAAGATATTCAATCAGGGATTCACTCCGCTTTAACAGATGCTCGTGCCACTATGAGATTATTCCAAGAAATTTATCTACCATTAGCACTAGCAAAAAATCCATTTTCTCGGTCATATGAAATTGAGGACGGCGAGTTTGATAATATTAAAAAAATATGAATCGCCTTTCAGAAATAAAGAATACATGATAAATGAGTAATTCAACGTCTTGTAATTTATTTTTAAGTTTATTGTAACAAAAAATCTCGGAATAGCTTTTGTGCACAAGAGTGACATTTGCATATTCATTCTACTTGACTAAAATTTCGTTTTTTTGGTTGTCGTTTCCTGCTAATTCGTTTTGCATTTTATAATGGTTATTTATTGCACACAGTTTACTGGCCGTTTCAACAGAGATTTGGTTCCTTTGGTCAGACATAATCTGACCCAAGGTCGAAAAATTTCTTTCGATCGCACCTGTACTAGCTGGTAGAGCAAACAATTTCATCACCATGTCAAGCATCTCCTTTGGGACAGAGTCCTTTGATGCAGCCTTCCACCATGATATTGCCGTCATTTGTGCAGAAATTGATTCATTTTGGTATTGCTTGTAAAAGAATTCAGATGCTTCTTCGTTTAAGGCGGCGGTTGGGACTAAAAATTTGGATTTTTATCAGATATGCAATACAGTCCTGATTCTCTTTGCTCCGATGTCAAACGTGAGCCTAAAAATAAATTTGAAATAAGATATATATATATATATTATATACTGTGGTATAAATGAACAGATATCATTTAACAATTAACTTATTTTTACATTAAAAGACATACCTTTGTACTTAGGATGCAAGATATGCGCCGCGATTGCGGTCTGTGTAAGACCAAGTTTCTTTTGCTTCAAAAAATACTCGTTAGTTGTGATTCTTCGCGGAAGACTGCAGCAAAGCGTAATTCACATTTCAGCCGCATCTGCGAGCGTGGAATGTTCTTTCTGCATCTGAAAAGAAATAGGAAGAACTCTGAAATGGAAAGTGGTCTGCACAAACGTCATAAATTGCACATATGTCAGACCTCGTCAAGTGCTACACAAATAGGCTGCAACAGTTCTACCATATCTTCTACATTGTTATAAACCGAGTTATCTTCAACGACCTCTTTCAATTTTTGGAAGCTTTCTTTCCCACGATGATCTTTATCCTTGCATAACTCACGAACAATGCCTAAATATTTACTGTGGTTTTCCAGATAATTTAAAAAAGAGTCAATTTGGGAGTTCCAGCGGGTAGTTCCGGGAAGAACCGGTCGTTTACCTCCCATCTCGTCCAATCGGCCACTCGTAAAGTGATGGTTTCGAATGTAGGTCTGAACATGTCGTATTTTCTCAGCAAGATCTTTGTCCGTAAATTTCTCTCCGATAAGATTGAAAAGGTGCGCGTGGCATCCATAAACTTATTCATCCATATGTGGATAATCTTTACGAATTAACGTCTGCATTGCCGTCATTGTAGAACAATTATCAGTTACAATTCCAACGATTGAGCAATTAAGTGATTATGTGCAATAATCAATAGCCTTCTGGAGATACTTGAAACATGTTTCACTGTCTTTTTTCGGCTCCAGTACTTTCGGCGGATAGGAAGTACGATCCCGATGGCGTGGCAAGGCAGTGTGAGAGTACAGGCTTATTTTGATTCGTGGACCAGCCGCCTTGCAATAAAACACCAACCTTATGTTCAATTTCGGATTTCCGCAAATCCAGAACTCGTTGATAGTGAGTATCCAAAATCGTCGTTCGAACTGTTTCCCTGGACGGAATATTATACGCTGGGTTTAGCGACGCAACAAATTCTTTAAATTGTGGATGAGAGACCACGTTAAAGGGTAAATTTGAGACGAAAATAAAACTTCCGAGCTTGAAGTCGAGCTTATTCTTCTCAGTTGCATTAACGGATTTGAAATATTTGCGCAAGTTTGATTGTGCTCCCCCTTTGGACTCAGGCATTTGATCGCTTAAAAACGGCATTTGCGCTGAGGTCCCGGCTTTGTTTTGTCGTAATGCTTTACAGGAAGATAAATGTTTATTTAATCGGTCGGCTTGAGAGCTCACTTTCTGACCACACTTTTTGCATGTCGACATTGAACTTCGATCAGGCTTTCCATTAGCATCGAACACACTATCGAAGTTTTCCCAAACATTGCTTCGAGGCTTCCCTGGTAGTTTCTGCTGATTTGCTGATTTCGTCTGACCTTGAGTGCTAGCCACGACCGGAATTTGTCGCTCGGGCGCCCCGGTATCCAACTGCTCTAGTGTCCATTCGCCTAGAATCTCATCGTCTTCTGTGATCATTCTGCCTAGTTTTTAATTATTTAATAGAGACTTAGCAATAATTCAAAAATTCGATTTAATATTTGATAAATACCAGGGCTCATGCAGGGCAAGAATTGAGCTATTTGAGCAGGATTAACAGCGACAGTAACTTGATCAATAAGGTTTCCTTTAAGATCGCTTGGTGCTGGTCATAGAAAAAAATATATTATACCTCGAGCTGTACATATGTCACAAGGTGCACAAAAGTCAGCTTTGCTCATCACAAATAGTAATTAGCCAAAATAATCCTCACCATTTTGCAAACCTTCAATTTGATTACTGTTTTTCTCGATGTTTTCATGTGTGATCTGGCTTCCGCCTGCTGATTCTTCTTCCTCTGCTTTAATTAAAAAGGTCAGTATATTAACGAACGCATTAATTATAAATAATATATTACCATACCTAAAATATCCAAAATTTCTTGCTCCTGGGATGCAGTCATTTTCTCCACCGTCCCGAATTTAAAAACTACAGAATTGTTTCTTTTTCGTCTAGCCATGCTGTTTGGCTCGAATTAACTTGTTTTAATAGCTTGTTTCGATATTCTTTAGCTATTGTATTACCAAATAAATTTTTATTTTAAAAGTATTGATGACCTGTGCAGAGAGAATTTTGATTATATGCTCTTTTCCTTAGCCGTGGTTTTGTCCGTAAGATGGAGGTGGAATAAATCTCATAAATCTCATATTTCTAATAAATCTCACTATTTCTCATAAATCTCACTATTTCTCACTGAGATGAGATTTGTGGACGACTAGTGAGATTTCTGCAACCCTGGTAGGGTAATAACCGTTTTTTTCCACACTCCTGCAGGAACACGTTGTGTTCATAGACCTCCTTAATTTGAAAGGTTCCAAAATTTTCCCAAACTCATCCTTTTCCGGAAAAATTCAATAGTTTTGGGAGATTTTGTTATTTTCTTTATTTTCTCGATTTCATGATGCACTTTACTATGACCTAATGTATGGGATAACTTGGTTCCTTTATATGGAGATGGTTCAGATGTGAGCAGTTTTCGTCATCAATGACTGTAAATTTCTCCAAGCATTTACTGTTCAATTTTACGAAACCAGTTTTAGTTGATTTTTCTTGATAATTGAGATGATTGGGGATTTTCTTGTTTGTCACCAATGAAGCCTTTAGTTTATAGGCTTCAATATGGAACACTTTAGAAGGATCCATTTCCAACTATTTCCCAGACTAGCTAACGGATTTGGTAGCATGAGTGGTGAAAGTTGTACAACATAACGTATTCATATAGGGAGATTTACTGGGGGTGTGGCCTGAAATGTGTTTCAATTTCACTTTAACAGCTTCCTGATACATTCTACTTGTGTGGTGGTTTGTGAATTTTGAAGTCCTCTCAACATTTAAATTCAGTATTAATAATAGTATCAAACGATCAAAATGCAAAGATGCAAAAAGTCACTGCCTCGAGTAGGGTTCGAACTCGTGACCAAGAAATTGGAGAGAGTATGCACCATCAAGCTGATGTGTGCTGGCGCACAAATGGCGGATCCACCACCACCACTGTGATTGCATCATCTTTTTGATGCAAGGATATGTGGCGATGATGATGCATTTGGCCCACCCCGAATGTACACCGAGTTATTTGGTTGGCTCTCCCTGTTCCTCCATAAGCGGCACTCGAATACATAAGATCGATTCTTCTGTTGGAATCTATATTCTGTGAAGCGGCACTCGAATACATTATGTCGGTCTATCCGCTACTAAAGTAGGGGAATCTCTTCATCCATGAAGCTGGTCAAGAAAAACAATTCAGCTTCAACACCAACACTTTCAAAAATAACGGGAACCGTCATTATATAGTAATCTTACATAACATTTAAGAATAGCATTTATTGATTGTTGTGAGGATGTTGTTGAAATGGTTCATTTAAGTTATTAAATGTTTTTAGAATTGCCATCGCGACGTCAGTCTTGAACAGAAATCAAATGTCGAGAGCCACAGTTTATCGGAATTCTTTAATAATCCCAGTTACAGTGACACTGATCCATTGCAGAAGAAATTCGTCACAAATTTGCAAGATTTGGTTTCTGTAGATGGGTTTCCTTTATCCTTTGTGTCTGGGCTCGGATTCAGTAATTTAATTCATGAAATAAACCCGCGGCTAAATATACCATCACGATGGACAGTTTCTAGAAACCTGCAACAGACGGTGAAAAAAATTGTGCGTAAAAATCGCAGACTTAGAACTTTGTCAATTTTAAATCACTAAATATTGTTTCTTGTATGACAAGGTTATCCCTGCTCTAATCATGGAAATTAAGGCCGTCGAAAACTATAATCTACATCTATCGACGGACATTTGGACAAGCAAAAGAGGTGATGGAATCATGGGATTAAAGGCACACTATATAAAAGAAATTGATGGAAGGTGGGAAATTGTCACGTCAACTTTATCAGTTCGCCAATTCAACGATCGACATACTGCGGAGAATGTGAAACTCAAATTAATGGAGTGTTTGGCATACTTGGATATTAGTACAGAAAAGGTGACAATCACGGAAACTTTAAAAAATTTGTGAATGACTATATCAAGAAAAATTATTTCAGATTGGATATCTCGTCACTGATGGTGCTCACAACATGGTGTCTGCATTTCGGGACTGGTTGGATGACGATGAGCTTCTTACTTCTCATGAAGACGATGAGGGCAATTTAGCAACCCCGGATCTATCAACACTGGATGACGATTACGTTATGGAAACAGACGACAGATATGATATCGAGAATGATCCCGGTGATGAACAAATACTGGACGTTCCATTGGGGCTTGTATTCCGAATTTCTTGTTATGCACATAAGCTTCAATTGGTTGCTAAGGATGCGATAAATCAGAATCCCAAAAGTCAAAAAATACTCAAAGGCGTTCATGGAATTGTGAGTTTTTTAAGAAGTCTAATTATTGGAGGGCTCGACTACTTAATGTGATGGGGAAGGAGTTGATCAAGCCGGCTCCAACGCGCTGGAATTCTAATTTTTACGTGCTTAAAAGATTAACAGAGGTACCTTATTACGTGGTTCATATTATTGAATATTTGCATTAACAACCAATTACTTCAAAGTAAAATACTTTTGAATAGGAGACTGTCTATGAAACGGTGTCGAATTTGATTCTGGAAGCCTGGATATCTCCGAGGAGACCGAAAAATGTTCCTGAGATTCCAACAATGCAAGACATGGAAATTTTGGTAGAGCTACGAAATCTCTTGTCCCCCATTACAGAGGCTACCAACGCTTTACAAGCTGATGGAATAACTTCTTGCTTAATTTATTATCAAGTAGTATCAACATTTGATGGTATGTACAGGGTGGTTAAAATGTCACGCCACAATGGAAAATTTTTCAATGGGAAAAGTCCCTAAATCTCCATTAGTTACAAAATTTGGGATTTAGATTTTTATAAATTATTATCAAAACTGATCACAAAATTCTTAAAATGTTGCATTTTAGAGACAAAATTTCGGTAACTAATGGAAATTTATGGATTTTTCCCATCGAAAAATTTTCCATTGTAGCGTGACATTTTAACCACCCTGTATTTGATAAACTTGAATACGTATGTATTTGAAATGTTCCTACCTTTACTAAATGATTGGTCATTCGCCTTTTAAGAGATTGCAAAAATCAAAACGAAGCATTTTACCCCTTTAAAGTCCCAACTCCTTCAGCAACTAATTCGTCGATTTGGTGAGAAAATCAGGCTGGAGAATCATATAATAATTAGTGCCATACTTGATCCAAGACAGAAGTTGGACGTATGTCGAAGTAATGTTTTATATTTTTTAACAAGCTTGTTCATGGGTAACTTAGTATCATTTTTTGAAAATCTAGTGAATGTTGCTTGCAATGGAGTTACCAAATTGGAAACACCCACTGCAGACACAGCTACAAATTTCCTCCGGATGCTAATTTATCCAAATGGGCCACCTGAAAATACTTGTTCTATACCAGCCCCTAATGTGAATGATCCGTTCTCGAAGTTGGCATCCATTACATACGAACCAGGATTCTCCTCTGACGAAGTGGACCGTTATTTGGCTCTTCCACGAATTCCGTCATCTTCAAACCCGCTTGAATTCTGGGCCCAAAATAAAGTATCTTTCCCTAAGCTTAGCAAACTTGCACAACAATTTCTAGCCATTCCGGCATCGACAGGCGGCGCTGAACGGTTGTTTTCATCGACTGGGTCTTTAGGAAGAGCTCGACGATCAAGTTTACTTCCTATAACTTTAGAAAACATGGTTTTACATAAACAACACCGCCTATCAACTTTGGCCAAGAAAACTAACGATCGCCAAAAATCAAGGAAAAGAAAAATTGCCACAGGAAGCAGCCCAAGCAAAAACATGAGGAACGAGAAAGAGGACGAAATTGTTTTTAAATGATTTTTTGGCTGATTTATTCTATTAGCATTCTGTATTGTCTTAACTTTAATTACAAGGTCGATTGCACATGTACCTAAATTTTAAAAATTTGAAGCAATAGTACATCAATTTTGGTAATTGTTATTATTCAATATAGCTGCTAAATAAAATATTGTTCGAATTTTTACTCGTTCTCAAACATACAAAGTTGACGTATTGCAAAATGAATTATATATTGTAATTTTGTAGCAGTAAAACTTTGCGATTAGTTTTGACAACTTAGCGACTCGTTAAGAAAGATTAAATAATTTTCTGAGAAGAATGTGAGAGCACTATGTATGTATGTCATATACAATCGAGTCATGTGTGGCTCAGACAAGGAAGAAAAACAAGTGAATGAGTGAGGGTAATGAGGGAATGATTCATCAGAACGGAGGAATGAGTGAAGAGAAGAGAACGAAGGAGTGAGTGAGGAGTGAAGGGAGTGAAGGAGTTTTGCCATAAAATAACGATGAATGAGGCTTCACGCTGCCTCCCTTCCCCGAGTGAGGGGAATGAAGGATGGTTTCACACGGGGTAAAAAAGAATGAAGCTGAGTGAAGCGAGGCTAACTTGCACAGGTATGGTTGCCACAAGCCCATAGGTGGGGTAGGGAAATATGCTATCCTATCCATGGTCTTGCACACCTTACGTTAGGCGCTTAGCACCACACTCCATGAGGGTATGGTTTTTAAATTTTGAACCTTCTTGCATTACTAGCCGACGGGGGCCAATAAATTCAAATTTCCTTTGACAGGACAATTTTGAACAACTAATTACTCTTTATAATTTTGAAATTCCACTTACGTGTTTTTACATAAAATCAAGCTTCGAGCGTCCTAACGTCATTTTAAAACTTAGCATCGAGGGCACTAACGTCGTTTTAGAATTAGTGCGACGACATGCATGTGCATATTTAAACTAACGTATTATGTATGTATGCATATGTATGTATGTATGTATTTATAATGTGAATTTATGATTTATATAAAACTAAAATCATCTGCAGATAAATAAACAGATGAATAACTGAACACCTTCAACGGGTAATTGCTAAGTAATATATACGTTCACATGTATGTACATACATTATGCATTCACGGATATGCGCATATCTAAATATGTAGATATCTATGTAAGTATGTACTTAGCTCTCGTTAATTAAATTAATTTATTGGTTAATTAATGCCAACAAAATGTACGATGTGGCTTCGTTGAACATTTGCAAGTATTTCAGGATTACTGCCGGACTTTAAATATTGGCTAACTTTATATTTTTTTACGCTTTAGATTTTTAATCTTTGTAAACTCGTGAGTAACCAAGAGATGCATTTCTCTGTCTGGTTAGATACATATGTATGTGCAAATAAATACTCATAAAAGTCAAGCCCATATTTAACGATTAAATTTGAAAATGTGTACAAAATTTCTACACTTAAACGCATTCACAGTTATATTTCTCTGTATCGGAGTTGGATACTCAATGGCACAACGAATTTCAATTCGTGTCAAAAAGACGTCTAAACGTAAGTAAATAAATAAGGTTTACGTATCTGAAAGAAAAATATAAAATTTTGTTTTTGATTAAAAAATGAATGTAAACTAAATTATTGTGCATCCAAAACCAATTTTTCCCGTTTTGTAATACCGGTTTTAAATTTTACTAAAAACGGCTCTAAAAAAAATTTTATGTACCACACTCGAAACTCGTTTTTTGTAATAAAAATGGTTTTTGAGCAACAATCAATCACTTCTTGTTATTTTTCATATATTTTTCCCTTAAATTTTGACACAGTTTAAATTTTACTATATTGCACTCTTAAAAATATGATTACAAAATTAAACCCTTAAATCGGTTCTATACAAATTTCAAACTCTGGAAAAATCAAAATCGGGTTTTTTAACTTGTTCCGATTTTGAATGCCCTACATATACACATAAGTAATTTAATGAAGTTTTCTTTTCTGAATATTTATCTAGCCCAAATTTACACCTTGGCCGGTTGTATATTTGACCTACCCAAGTCAGAATCTGGCCACGTGTATAAAATTGGAACAAACAGGAACTGTGTTAATATATATTTGCAAGAAAACTGCACCGGAGAATTCATCCGATATCAAGAAGCTCCTCCGTCCATGGTCATTCGATTTGCATCTAAATGGGAAGACGACATTTCTCTTGACGATGAAATGGTTGCTGTTTCCTCTATCGGGCCCTGCTTTGACAAATGTGATCCCCGGAATTGGGTCGGAATGAGGAGAGACGTCCCAGCTAAGGGTACTTTATTTAACGGCGCCGCCTATACGACAGGTATAATAAATACGTTTCAAGTTTTTGCAATTTATTTCAAAAAAGTATTTGCAAAGTAGATATTCGCATAATGGCGAACAAGCCTTTGATGCATTTTTCAGCATAAGACTTTTTGGTAATCATGTAATACTCGAAATATTTAGAAATACTACTCAATCTGATTATTTGTACCAGAGTTAGGACTTTTTTATCAGTCACTCGCCCTCCTCTACGCTCGCTAGTTCGTCAAATATTTACTCCCTTTCTTTACCCCTCCCCCTCGCTCCAAAATGAGGAAGAGGGCCGACATCGACTTAATTATATTTTAGGGCTCAAGTTCTATTTTTGGGGATAAACCTTCTTTAAGCAATCTTTAAGCAAAAAACTCGGGAATTTCTTTTAAAAAAACTCGCAACGCAGAAACCTATAAAACGCGTCTTTGCAATTTCAGGTCCTAAAAGAAATTTCGAACTTTCGGGAAAGGAATGTAAAACCTTCACCCCTAACATACTTACGTGGGAATCAATCCGAATTTCGGGAACGTCTGCATCCACGTGCGTCGAATTACATGAGTCCCCCACATGCAGTGGTGGAAACTCGTTCCAATTGCGCCCAGGATACCCGTACTTGAGTGACTTGAATAAGTGGGGTTTCTCGGGTGGGCGAAAGACTGCAATTTTTCTCAAATCAGTCTCACTGTGCGGAAATGGTTGTCCCGAACTTGAATTAGCGACGGAGACTAGGGTTCCAAATACTAAACCCCCCACGACAACAGGCGCCACAAACTTGACCATGACAGCCACCAATACAAGTACGTATTAAAAACGTTAGGACATCCAAAACCGAAATATTTTGACCAACTTTTCTAAAACCCATTTTCGATTTTTCCACCTTTTAAATTTTTTAACACCAGTTTTACACCAAATTGAAATAAAATTGAAATATAGTGTGCTAAAAAATAAAATTTAGGTAATAAATTCAGAAAAAAATCTTTTTTTCGGAACAATTAATTCTTAAATGAGAGACTACAAATGGTAATTATTCAGTAGCCCGAAAACAAGTTTAAGATATTATACAAAATCCAAAACTGGTTTTGACCAGGGATAAAATTTTGTTTCACAAAATTTTTTTCGAAAATTTAAACCTGATCTTTGGTTACATGGAAAACCGGTTTTACATAATCGGGAAAACCGATTTTGGATACCTTACTAACTGTTTTGATGGAATTCCTGGTTTAGAAGAAGCTTCGAGCAACTTTGAGCACGCGGAAGGATCTCCGGTCTGGGTCGATATGTTAACCGTCTTCGTGGTCTTGTTTGCTTTCGGATTGGGTGGCGTTTATTTTATTCGACGTTATCGAAAAGTACATTTGATAGAGTCGTATAAACCTTGTAACATTACGTACAACGCGAGGACTCAAAATATTTAGGTGATGAACCAATTCATGTTGCAATAAATATGTACACTATGAATAAAATATTTTAACGTATTGATACCCAAACATAAACATGCGTGCACAATTAGAAAATTACATGTTTGCGTAAGAAAAGAACGCACTTACAACAATATCGCAACTCACAATGAAGAGCTCCGAACGTATGCTCACAGATTTGTATCAAAGTGGTGCCAATCTGTAGTGTCTGCAAAAAGTTTAAAGTAAATTATGTTTCTTGAGAGGTTGTCAACAAATTTCAGCATAAAGCTAGGTATTCACCTCTTGTTTATCGGGTGAATTTACATAACCTGCTTACATACATTCGAATACAAAAGCACGAGATGTATCTTGTATTTCAATTAATATGCCACTGCTGATGATTCAAGAGATGGATCGTGAGGTCTTTTTTAGAATTTGTAAATTCTACAGTTTATAATCGAAGTTCATAAATAAACTCTAAAGTACTAATTGCCTCAGTGTTTGTAACAAGGTTGAGAAAATTACGAGTCTCTGACTTTGAACAAAAGAACGCAAAACTATTCGACTTACGTAATTATTGTTACCATGCACATAAATACATGTAAATTTAAAGGTCATCCGTAGGAAGTACAAGTACACTAAAAATATTTTGTCACACATTTTGGCATATGTATGTATGTACGTATTAGCTGATATGAGTACATATTATGCATCTAAATGTCTCTGGACAAAATAAAACAAATAACTACAATAATTGCGTAACGGAGTATTATTAAGTTATTTTAAATTTGTAACCAACGTAAATTACTGAGCATGTCGACTTCAACCCTCCCATATAAATATATCTCGAAAATTGAGCGTATCAACATACCCTACCTTGTGAAGGATAGAGGAGTTTGCTAGATTTCGGAAAACTTTTCAACTTTCGTACTTCTAAATTTACTTCGCAGTTGGGTGTATTTCTATTTCGTAAACTTATCATTTGAATTAAATTCCTTAGAAATCGCAAGACGACAGAACTTTTTCACTGATATACGAAATTTGAAAACTAATATTCTTCCAATCCCTACCAAGACATATGTTTTTAACTTCGCAAGTTAGCTAAATGAATGTGAAATAATAGTCGTATCATATCCGAATAATATTTGCAGTATAAAATTACATAATACAACAAATCAGGATCATCTACAGGCAAACACACCAATCGCACTTTCCACCGAAACCATGCAGTTCTCCAACTTAAAAAAATTATAAATGTTCTCAGACTTTTGAAATACTC